TCCGAAGTAGCGCGCTGTACGCATACTGCTTGGCCCGGTCAATCTGGTATAACCTCGCTCCGTTCTTTGAAACCCAAGCCGGCGAATCCGTTGGTGGAATCACTCCATAGTGCTTCATGATCGAGGCGAGACCATCTCGCGCGCGATGGCGCTGAAGGCCTAAAATTCTCTCACTTGCTAGGAGCGTCAGCGTGTAGCGGCGCTGTTGACCCGTCAGGAATGTTTGAAGTCCCCCTGACAGACAGTCCGCATCTCATGTCCACGTTCCTTTCTGCCGACGCCATGGCAACGAGATTCATTAGATCCCTGAACCGACTTGCATTTATTTTGCAACGGTACAACATCTCGCCCTTCGGGGATAAAATCCTCGTTGGACCAACCGACCGACCTGCAATTCTTATGCAGCGGCAAAACAACGCCCAAAGCGTGAACCTGAGTCACGTAGGGCCGACTCACCTGCCTGCACCCCTGATGCAGCGACAAAACAGAGCCCACTTCGGGAACTTGCGTCACGTTGGGCCCCTCGACATGGATGCAATTGCTATGTGGCATTAAACCATCCGTGTCTGTGCTTTCCTTTGGCCTTACCACATGGGTATTTGGCTGTTTGTCCTGCGCTAATCTGCGGCTCCCTGTCCATGTATCGCCCGAGCCGGACTTGACTATTGGTGGAGGCTGCTCAGTCGGCCTGAGGATGGTTGCCGTCCGGCCCACCTCATGGCCCCTTCACACTTCCGCTTGGCTGCCTGCCGCTGGTGCACTCGTGTCCCGAAGCCCCCCGTAGTTCTTACTAATGAAGTTTCTCACAGTAACTGGTAATTTAGCAGGTACGAAGTGTCCTCGGTAGTCGAACACACAAGTGTCTCCTTCACCAGGGAATCCTTCGATAGACAAAAACTTCATGCACAGCTTCTTGCCTTTTCGAATCGGAAGCGCTGCCACCACCTCTGGGGGAACGGGAACTCCGCGCCCTTGTCGGGCACCGCTGTTTGTTGTGCGCGCTTTGGCCTTCTTCATGCGAGACGATGGTTTTGTGGGGGCTGACAACTTTAGAGCTGCTTCCACCTTAAGCCTGGTGACACGTTGAACCACTCGTGCGTAGGACTCGTGATTGAACTGGAAGTGGGTTCGTATACTCTCTGCGGCTGCCATATTTCCTTGAGCCAAGTGTGATCGAAAGGTTTCAAAACGGTCATCAATCCAAGCCACTAACTCCGGGACTGCTTCTGTCCCCTGCATAGTTTTCGTTTTACGCAGAGTCAGCAGAAAACGTCTGGCCGCGTCGACCAAAACTGCTACAACCTGTGTGTACATCTCATTCACCAACAGGGGCAGCACTTCCAGCACCGCTACAACGTCGGCGAGATCTTTTGGCTCTTGTGGCTCGGGAGTCTTGTTTTTCGCCGAGAAGTCTGTCATATCGTAACGCTTAAGATTGTCACGCTCCACTTCCACATCCATTGGCGCAAAATGTCGAATAGAAAGCCCACGAAATCCAAAGTCCCACGCAAAGAATCCTCGCGCAACGGCCGGGTGTGGCAAATAAATCAAAGTCCTTTCGCCCGCGACTGCATTGTTTCTACAAACAACTGATCATCCAAGCAAGAATACGTACCATTTACCATTTGCACCGTGTACAGCTCTTTGTTGCCGGCCTGGACTGAACTGTGACTTGAAATCGCTCGCTGCTGCGACTTCTCCAAATGAAACGTTGAAAGCTTTT